TGCTACAAGTCTCTTTTTCATCTTTGAGGAGATTGTCCAGCATTCACTGCCATATAGGAGGACAGATATCACGTAACAGTTCAGTACTCTTTTCTTTGTTTCTGTTGCTACAAGTCTCTTTTTCATCTTTGAGGAGATTGTCCAGCATTCACTGCCATATAGGAGGACAGATATCACATAACAGTTCAATACTCTTTTCTTTGTTCCTCTTGCTTCAAGTCTCTTCTTCATCTTTGAGGAGATTGTCCAGCATTCACTGCCATATAGGAGGACAGATATCACGTATCAGTTCAGTACACTTTTCTTTGTTTCTGTTGCTTCAAGTCTCTTCTTCATCTTTGGGGAGATTGTCCAGCATTCACTGCCATATAGGAGGACAGATATCACGTATCAGTTCAATACACTTTACTTTGTTTCTGTTGCTTCAAGTCTCTTCTTCATCTGTGAGGAGATTGTCCAACATTCACTGGCATATAGGAGGACTGATATTGCTTATAACAGTTTTGTATTTGTTTCAAGCGAAATGTTTATGGTTCTTAATTCTTTGCTTAGCTTTTGGAAGAAATCTGTCACTGCCCTCCCTAATCATATTCGTTTTCATGGTAGAGGGGAACTGCATTTCATTCAAAATAATTTACGCCAAATAATCGTTTCATTCTCCGGTATTATCGCATAATGGATGAGCCTCTTGTAAACTTTATATGCAAATTACCAACATTTGTGTCTACCGTAAATTGTCGCCATTTTATATTTTAATTTCGCGCATGCGCCTTTTTGGCTTTTTTATTTTGTCGACTGCATATTATAGTAAGGTCAGTTGGGCACCATCTGTGAGAAAAAGACTATCATGATGCAACTTATTCCGCCAGAAATTTAGAAACGGCATGCTGTATTGCTTGTCATTTGCACCGGAAGCTTCAATACGAATATTTCAGAGTTTTTGGGTGTCAATCTGAGGACAGGACAGTACCTGGGTCAGGAGGGTGACTGTTGGAAGACCCTATGTCTGGTAACAGGACTCTGTACCATGTCACACATGCAGGAGAACCCAGTCATGACTGTCAGACAATTTCTACGACCACATCACCCCTTACATCTAGTCACCTAACTTCCAACACTGCATCCCTTATGCGTGGTGCTCACTTGAGCGAGAGACCAATAAAACTCCTCGTAACACCAAAGATGAATTGAAGGCAAGGATTATGGCAGCATTCACCAATTTAAACAAGGAGACAGTCCAGAAGAAATTCAGGAGATTCTGAAGTCGTCTGGAGGCCGTGGTTTAAGTCAATGGCGATTTTATTGAATAAATTTACTCTTTAGTATTTCAAGACATTATTTGTGTAATTTTTGTAAATATATCTGTTAAAATGAGATGTCAGGGTTATTTTCCTGTCTGCGTCATTAGAAGACAATTTATCCATCGCGCCTTGTACACACACACACACACACACACACATATAATGTGTGTGTATATATATATAATGTATGTATGTGTATATATGTATATATAGTGTGTATATATATATATATATATATATATATAATGTGGGTATGGTTGGCCTAGAGAGTGGCAGAGGGTAGGTTTAGAGAGCGGCAGAGGGTAAGTCTTAGAGACTACAGAGCGGCGGAGGGTAGGTCTGAGTCTAGATATCGGAGGAGTGTAGGTCTAAATCTAGAATCTAGAGTGCAGCGGAGGGTAGGTCTAAGTCTAGATATCGGCAGAGGATAGGTTTAAGTCTAAAGTCTACAGTGCGGCGGAGAGTAGATTTAAGTCTAGAGTCTTGAGAGCGGTGAAGGATTGGTCTGAGTCTAGATATCGGCGGAGAGTAGATCTAAGTCTAGAGTCTAGGGTGTGGCAGACGGTTGGTCTAAGCCTAGATATCGGCGGAGTGTTGGTCTAAGTCTAGAGAGCGGCCGAGGGTAGGTCAGTCTAGAGTCTAGAGAGCGGCGGGGGCTTGGTCTAAGTCTGGAGAGCGACGGAGGGTTGGTCTAAGTCTAGAGTCTAGAGATTGGCGGAGGTTAGGTCTAGTCTAGAGATCACGGAGGGTTGGTCTAAGTCAAGAGTTTGGCGGAGGGCCGGTCTAAGTCTACAGATCGGTGGAAGGTTGGTCTAGTCTAGAGATCGGCGGAGTGTTGGTCTAAGTCTAGAGTCTAGAGATTGGCGGAGGGTTGGTCTAGTTTAGAGAGATCTAAGTCTAGGATTGGAGGGTTGGTCTAAGAAAGAGATTGGTGGAGGTTGGTCTAGGTAGAAATCTAATCTAGATATCGTTGGCGGAGATCGGCGGAGTGTTGGTCTAAAATTCTAGGTCTAAGTCTAGATATCCGCGGAGAGTTGAAGGTCTAAGTCTAGAGAGCGGCGGAGAGTAGGTCTAAGTCTAGAGATCGGCGGAGGGTTGGTCTAAGTCTAGAGATTGGCAGAGGGTCGGTCTAAGTCTAGAGATCAGCGGAGGGTAGGTCCAAGTCTAGATATCGGCGGAGTGTTGGTCTAAGTCTAGAGTCTAGAGAGCCGCGGAGGGTAGGTCTAAGTCTAGAGAGCGACGGAGATTAGGTCTAAGTCTAGAAATTGGCAGACGGTAGGTCAAAGTCTAGAGTTTACAGAGCGGTAGAGGGTAGTTGTGACGGATTCATACCTTTCACAAGGGTATTCGTGCGGAAGTGAACGTGATAAATTCTGTCGGAATTCACACTCGACTCACTAACCGTTACACTATAGCGACATCCGCAATAATGCGACCTACCAGAGAAAATAAAATAAAATAAAATGTTTTTCTATTTAACATAATCATCTGTTTACAGGTAACCGTTACCCGAGATCAGCGCTTCTTAAACTGTTTTCATTCATGACCCCATTTTTTCATCACGAGATTTTTTCGCGACCCCAGGCATTAAATATAAAATAAAACATACAAATAAATACATAAATCATTTATTTTTTTGTTGAACAATATAAAAAAAACGTTATTTGTCAAAATAAAAGTAGTTTTAGGATTTGTTTCAAATAAAAAAATAAACCAAAGTAAAAATCAATGAGACAGATGTGTTTGTATTATTGCTGCATAACAAATTAAACCTTGATATAATATTTGACACTGCTGGACGTAAAGCATCTTTTACGGTTTTCAGAGTTCAACAATATAAGTTTGTAATAAAGGTTAATGCTGAAAACATCGTTTCATTTGTGATGATAAATGACAAAAGAACGCCATTTCAGCAATTATGGGAAATTCAGCTTCAGCTCCGATCCAGAATTCAATCAAAGATTTTTTTTTCTGTAAATCCAAATTTCAGCGAATTCAAGTGTTTAAATTTAATTTTCGCAGCCCCAGAATTTCGCTTCGCGGTGCCATTTGGTGTCGCGACCCACAGTTCAAGAAGCGATACCCTAGACCAATGATTCCCAAACTTCTTTTTCTCTGGACCGAATTTTCGGAATGAAAATTTGTGTTAGCGACTCACTTAATTTTATGTGATAAAAAGTACGTTCAAAATTTTTTAAAATAGAGAAATAATTAAAGGGAGATAACCGCGAATTCGCAGTCAGAACATAATCATTAATAACTCTCTCCTTCAATTTGCGGACCCTAGTTACCATATTCGTAATACTTCGTAATACTTGATATAAAGCAAAAAATATCACAATAATAAAATAATTATTTATAACTATTTATACTGGGAACCATACATGCAATTACAAGTCACCCATAATAATATTTTAAATTTTGAAATCATATTTATTTTTGGCATATGAATTTTTTGAAATTGTTTCTAAATCTTTCAATCATGCCGCCTCACCTGCTATCCTCCTCCGCCACACCTATGCAGCGCGTCGCACTGTTTGGGAATCATTACATTACATGTGCATCTGCAATATTACGACTAACCAGAAAAGATAAAACAGCATAAAATAAATTAAATGTTCTTTGTATTCAACATATTTATCTGTTTATAACCGCCAAGACTGGTTATTTCCGCCATTTTCGCCGACTTTTTAACCTCAGACGTGTTACTATATGTAAATTTTTCGATTGAACAAAAGCGCCAGTCAAATGTATTAACACGAAGCATATACGATTGCTTGCATAATGATTCTTACGCCCATACGTAATTCCACGGTTTTTATTATATTGCATTTAATAAAACGCATTAAATCAACCAACCAACAAAAGTTTTTATTATTACTATTAATAGAGTGAAGACACGGTGGAGTAGAGGAGGGTGGCTAGGAATCAGAGAGCTGAGTTCGAATTCCAGTCGAATCCATTATATTCACTTTACATGCTTAATACCCTTGTATTACCTTATGGGTAAATAGCAGGACAGACTGGATTCTATGTTAACTGGTCTAGGAGAAGCACAATTCAAAACCCAGAGTGCCATTTGGGGACATTGTGGCACATAGTGCACCAGGTTTCTGTATTCGGCCTTTCAAAAATCCTTACAATTTTCACATTCACCATAAAAACTCGTCCTTCACCAATCAATCTTCCATACACCATAATACCACATCCTCTCAAGAGGGACCTATAAAACGCGCCCCATGCCATAAAAATTTAATGATGATAAATTATTATAAATAAAAATCTAATAATGAAGAATGAGAGGTGAGGGAGATGAACCCAATAACAAACTAAATATTAACACAAAACAAACTAAACATAACTGATGTTAGTAGGGCCCGTCCAACCCTCAAAAACGAGAGGCCGCTGTATTCTGCCCATTGGATAAAATCAAGAAGCTCCCTCGCTAAGGGAGTGGGAAAAGGGGAAAATATATACGGGCATGGGAAATCTAAAAGCTGACCCAGTCGAAATGAAAAAGGGGGCCAAAACAAACTGGGGAGGTTAGGAATCTCGACTTGGATCATAACCAAAGAGGAAGCTGAGAACAGGCCAGGAACAACACTTAGTCACATTAACTAGGTACACTGAAGCTTGTCTAACCTCACCAAGGGGAGGGCTCCACAAAAATTGGCAGTTTACCCCGTTAGTAGTGGTCAGCTTACAGTACCCAGGTATTCCCAAGCGTTCCCCTAAGTACTGACCTGGCTCTACGATGCTTAACTTCGGTGATCGAACGAGAACAGGTGTTTTCATCGTGATTTGACCGTACGCAGCACTACTTAGCGTATTACCCCCACTTACAATAGTGCCCAAGATACTTATGAAGATTGGGACATAACCATTAATGTTCATAGTTACGATATATTGATTTTCTAAGCGTAGCTTAGATGTGGCACCCAGTGAGGATCGAACTGACTACTCGGTCGTAATTGTTCTAGCGAGACAAGCATGCTAACCATTACACCGCCTCGAGGTGCCCTTCATAGAAGTCAAACCAATCAAAATATTTAGATTCTGGCATTAAAATAACCCATAGAGGTGTTGATATGCCGCTAAACAAAGAACCAACCAAACCAATCAAAATATTTAGATTTCGACATTAAATAACCCATAGAGGTGTTGATATGCCGCTAAGCAAAGACAACCGACCAAATCTATCAAAATATTTAGATTTCGGCATTAAATAACCCATAGAGGTGTTGATATGCCGCTAAACAAAGACAACCAACCAAACCAATCAAAATATTTAGATTCTGGCATTAAATAACCCATAGAGGTGTTGATATGCCGCTAAACAAAGACAACCAACCAAACCAATCAAAATATTTAGATTTAGACGTTAAATAACCCATAGAGGTGTTGATATGTCGCTAAACAAAATAACCAATCAACCAACGAATAATTCAGTATCTATCCGAATACAGCTTATAAAAATTTATTGTTACGGTAAACGTTTTTTTTTTTTTTTTGCTTGCTTGTTTTTGTTTACCGGCATATCAACACCTCTATGGGTTATAATGCCGTAATCTAAATATTTTGTACGCAATTTTATTTTATTTTATTTCATCTTTTTGGAGATAATAATAGTTTTAGTGATACAAGTCTTACTAATTAACCCATAGCTGGAGGAGAAGAAGTAGATTCATACGTTTCCAAAGGCTATTTGCACGTAAGTGAATATAACGAAGCCAACGGAAATTGAAACTCGGCTCTTCGATTAAGAATTCAGAGACATTATCCAAGCTTGCAGCACCTGGTATTTCCAAAGTTTTTCGTTTGATCATTTCAAGGTTGTCTTTTTTTCTTTCTCTCTTCGGTGGTTTGATTTCTATGTGTGTGTGCGTGTGTGTGTAAGATGGAAACAACGAGAAAGCCGAATCCCTAATAATGATTACGTAGTAAATATGCAATTGCTTTCATCTCAAGTTATCGCTTTGCGCAAACGTCTTTCCTTTGTGATACTTCATGTAGTCTGCAAAAGAACATCTCCCGGGAACAAGTTCCATAGATTGAATGAATATTTGATTATGAACGATTAAAATCCCATATTTCTTGAATATTTCTAAACAGTGTTTGTGTAATTGACCTCCCATATTCATTAGGCGAGGCGTTTCTATTATTGTCGGGACACTCATAAAACTAATTCCATGGGAATCGGGCTGACAATGAGATCAAACCTGTGACCAAGATGGAAATTATCGGCCAGATAAAAGTTTCATGTCGAAAAAAAATTACTGAAATTATTATTTTTTTTCTTATTTATTTTAGCGAGTTGAATTTCACAACACCAACAAAACGAAAAATAAGAAAACAATATCAGAACGGCTGGTAATTAGTTCTAATTTTTTTTTTTTGTGGCAAATTTTATTCAATTCGAACTTAGTAAATAATACGAAAAACATGTAAACAGGAGAATACAAGACATCTGTAGTCGTTGTCACAAACACGGGTCTTCCTGCCCGCAAAAAACCAGTCCTTTTGAAACAAAAGGACGTTTTTCCATTGACACTCCTTCCTTTTTTAATCATTTCACTTCAAGCAAGGCAATAAAGCCACTAAGATGCAAGAGCTTACAGAATGTTAGAGAATATGAAAAAAAACTAATATTAAGGAGAGAAAGCAATAAAAAGACAAGAACTAAGAAGATAGTAGATAACATTGCATTACATTTTTGAAGATCAAAGTTGACTAGGAAGCAAGAATCAGCAAGATAATTTCACAAGCGAGAAGTACGACAGAAGAAACTGTTAACATAGAACTTACGGTTACATCTAGCCATTTCAAGTATAAAATGATGAAATTAGTATTAAAACATTTATAGAAAAGGCACAAGGACGCTACGTTAAGGCGGTGGGAAAAAATAACTGAATTCGAGATGCCAGATCAGGACCGAGAACATTGCAGATTCTTCTTTGTGTTTTATCAATGTTGTGGATTCCGGGTTGAAATCCGGTACCAATAAATAACAAACGCCGGGAATGAATATAGGAAAATAATGTATTAACGTAATAATACAAACTAGTAATGCAGGTTAGTAGTTCCAGGAATACGGGTTAGTAGCAAAATATCTATACAGTCTTTGGTATTGAAGTATCGCTGTATGACTTCTTACTGGGTCTACGTGCTTGCTCACTGTGACTCCTACAACGCTGTTACCTCACCCCTCACTCTTCCGGTTGCCTACAAGCTTTTACTCTGTCACTCTGGACTCGACTCGACTCCTCGGTCTTGCTCTCGTCTTCACGTAGCAGTAGTATATGTATATACTGAGTGAGTCCATTTGTGTAAAAAGGGGAGAACCCCTCAACAATCAAGAACTTCGAAATTCATAGCAGAAGCACCAGACCAGATGTGACTGCAATATTCAAAGCATGGACAAATGGTAGACTTATAAAGGTGTTACATAGATTTTGGTGAGAAAGCCTGTTAACAAATTATTAATTTTTTACTTCTTTTTTTTAAAACCATTTAATCAAGCAAGGCAATAAAGCTACTAAGATGCAGTGGGGTTACTGAGTGTTGAGGGAATATGAGAAAAAGAAAAACATTATTAAAGAGAAAGAACAATAGAAGAAAATCGAACTTACGTTTACATCTAGCTATTTCAAGTGTAAAATGATGAGACCTATCTGCCAATCTAGTACTGCACTTAAATTCATGAAGTCTAGCTTATTTATAAATATTACAAAAGAGTACATCACAAATGAATAACAAAATAGTTTTAACCATTTCACCACAGGCAAGGCAATAAAGCCACTAAGACACAATGGGTTACTGAGTGTTAGAGAATATGAGAAAAACACCATTAAGGAGAGAGGACAATACAGAAACAGGAATTAAAAAGACAAAAGATAACGATTATTATTACCTTTAAAATGTTGAATGTAAAACGATGAGACCTTACCGCCAATCTAGTACTGCGCTTATTTTTATTTTAACTACTTATCAAAATATTGTAAACCATAAACAATGCAATAATTTTTAAAACATCAACTAATTTTACCAATCTTCAACCCCCTCGGCAATGTTTATTGTTTTAAAAAGCGAGGGTTAGAATTTTAATAAAACCCAAATATATAAAATTAATTACATTGTTTACATCGTTCGGACTGTTGCCCTCATCTTTGTTACCATATTCACGACATTACGGTTGTTGTACGCTCCGGCCTTCTTCAGGTAATTGGAATTTCGAACTGAACCCTTTATTTTGCCCACCGGGGTAGATTGTTCTAGTTCCACGTGCTATGCCTCTTCCGGATGTCCCCAGTATCAGTCATCTCCCTTTAACTCATCTCCCCAAGTTTTTTTTTTGTTCCCCTCAACTGTAGCCAGGTATTGAACTCACAACTCTCATTGCTGAGACATTAAGTTAATAAGGCCCAAAAATTCATACTGTCCTCATGGACACATGGCACAGTGGATAAAAGCGTTGGTTAAGTCCAGTGATTTGCCCCAAAGATTTGTGAGTTTTTGTTTTAAATCATTTCACCCCAAGTAAGGCAATAAAGCAATTAAGACGCAAGGTGGGGGGTGGGGGGTAACTAAGTGTGAAAGAATATGATAAAGAAAAATACTATTAGCGTAATTTCTCAAAAATAATACGCATTTCTTTTTACTGTAAATTACAGGTGATAGTAGGGATGCGTATTATAAATAGGTTTAAACAAAAATATTTATCGTTATTGATTTATAATAATTAATACGCATTATGGTTTTGGTGGGGACACACGAGGTCCTTGCACCGGCCTTGCACTTCACTACACTACAGCAATTTCTAAAGAAGTAATGGATATTTTATTTATCACTCTTGCCAGATTTTGTCAATTTAAGTTTAAACTTTGTGGTTATCCATATTTGAAAAGAGGCTCCATTTATTTATTAAACAGTATTCGAACCTGCATCCCCCTTTGCAGGATAAACCGACTCCCGCTAAGAAGATGGGGGACATGTTCGAATCCTACTGAAAGCATCTTTTTCTTTAAGATTTCCCGAATATTCAGGCTGGTGAACGAAAATACTGTTTAAACGGAGTGCCTATTCAAATATGACTGTCCACTAAAATAACGTTTTAAACACAGACACACATATATACATATATATATATATATATATATATATATATATATATATATATATATATATATATATATATATTAAACGTTATATAATTTCATATAGATGTTATTTTTAGTATGAGTATTTCATTTTTGCTATCCCTGTTTTATTATTTTATTATTATTATTATTATTATTATTATTTCCTTTGATTTCTGGTGTATATTCATTTATTTCGGGGTCCCAACCAGAGACCTAAGCGTCAGAAATGGCTTTATAACATTCGCTGAGCATTTATGTATAAAAAAAATAGCCAAGATCACACACATTTTACATAAATAATGCTCTTCGTAATGTGTGAGCTGTGTATGTGTATATATGTTTTTGTATTTCTCTAAAGCATAGACTCCCTTCAATGAATCTATCGGACCTTTTTCCAATCAGTTTCAAGTATCTAAAACTACAACTACTGAATTATTGATGACCTCACATGCCACATTTGACGGATTTCACTGCATGATCCTTGTATTTTGATAGTTTTGGGAAGATCTTCAAAGATGCATTACAATCTGCAGGGACTGCCATGTCAATAAGAAAGCACATTCTCTTCTTGTGGTCTTTGATCACGATGTCTGGGCGATTAGCTTTCATTGTTTTGTCTGCGTGTATTGTAACGTTGTGGTTATCCATATTTGAAAAGACGTTCCAATTATT